AGCCCACTGGTAATACTTTTCTACTACTTAATGACTTATTATTAGTAGTAGTAGTTGTATTATTAGTAGTAGTCGTATTTTTAGTAGTAGTTGTTGGAGGATCAAGAGTTTCTGTATTAGCCACTTGGCCAGCAGCTTTCTTTTTTTTGGGTAAAAAGTTTGATTCTAATAAGATGTTTAATTTTGTTGCTTGTGCTGAGGTGGTTGATTGTGATAATGTAGTTAAGGTGCTTGAAGTTGTTAATTTTGGCTACAATAAAGTTTAGGGTAAATTGGTTGATATTTCATTATTGCCTGTTGCATATTGTTCGGCCAATGATCATTTGGGTTGGCACAAAGAACTAAGATTAAAGGATATATGTATATAATTAGTTTTTTTGCCTTTTTCTTTCATAGTGAGTTAGTGTTAATTGACAAAAGCAATAAAATAAAATCCTATCATTTTATATTATTCTAAAATCAATTATTATGTATATTGCTTATTAGTCATATCAGCTATCTGAGTTGAAATATATATACACAAACTAATTTAAAAATACTTATTGTCTTACATTATGTGACATAGTTACATTATTAGATTTCAAAATTCTGATTTGAAATTTCGTAGAAGAATTTGTTAATAATTACATAATATGATAGAGAAGGCACCAACAGACGACAAAGAAAATTTACCAACAAATGTTAAAAACTTTGACTTTCTGATTCTAGAAACTTTGTAGAATAATTTGTTAAATAATAGAAGTTATAATTCATAACTCATTTGTAAATATATTATATATACCAAATCGTGCTTATTCAAAATATTTGACTTACAACTTATACGTCTTATAATTCTTTCTTGGATGACTGTTATGATGGCCTTTCAGATTAATCAATAGAGATCTTTAATAATTAATCAATAAATGAATCATTTAGCTTATACCATGAATAAAGTTGATTTCTTACCCGGAGAAATAGGCAAAAAAATTCAATAGCACAATTACAGTATTACACTCTAATCAAAACAAAGAGAGAATTAAATACTTATTTAATACATTCAAAAATATATATATTAACGATAACAACTTACAATAATCTATAAAAACAACTCCTTTTAAAAAATTAATTATAACACAAATTCTTCTAAATTTTTTAAAGAACGAATTCTTGAATTTTGGAATTGTTATTGCTTCTTAATGATTCGATTAATTTTTTAGCATTTTTTTTTTGAAATTCATTAGCCAGTAACTTTTCTTGATAAATATAATTAGCTTCATATGATTTTCATAAGCATTGAATTCGGATTCCAAATTTATGTCTAATTTTAAGAGATAATATAAATTATTTGCTTAATAAAAAAGTTTTTTGAATAAAGCATATTCATCTGGATGCAATTTGCTAAAAACTTGATTCATAAATATATAGATACATATTGATTCATTCATCTGTACAAAAAAAAAAGTTAAAAATTAAATATTCAATATGTTAAATGACAAAATTCAAAAATTTGCAACTTGACCTACAGTTTGATGTTTTGGCAGACATGTATATCCATTATAACATATAATAATTTTGAATAGAGTATTGAATGGTGTCTGGAGTATATTATTCAATGTGTAAATTGTCTTGTAAAATTCAAAATTTTCAATTTTTTACTTTAAGCAATATAATAAATTTTTTTTTAAAAAGCAGCTCAAAGATAAGTTGGAAAATGACAAAGATTGTGCTAAGCAATTACAATATTTGAAAGAAAAAGAATTTTCATTCGATAAGTTGTGGAATAAAAAATTTTATTCAGATATCAGTATCAGTATTCTTTACTTTCATTACCTTGCTAGTCATTTCCCTTACAGACAATTTACCCGATATCAACAGGTGATAATTTATATTAATATATACCTGCGATTTACTTAAACATTATCACTACCTTTATTATTATATATGTTATATCGGGTAAATGATCTATAAAAGAAATGATTATCAGACTATCTTAAATTTACATATTAACTTTGTTTATAGATACTATCAGCAAATCATGTTAAGAAATAGTACTACGTTCGTCGAATTAAAGAAGGTCTCTGGGGTATCGTTGACATTAGTAAGATAAAACTGGTTAATGAACGTGATACTAAAGAACAAATGAAAAGGTGAAAAAAGGACTACAAGAAAGTTTATGAAGAATTATACAATCCAAGTGATCCAAATAACCCAAATTCAGATACTTTTCTTGCTTTAATCATCAAATATGCTTTTATATCTGAAGATGAATATACTCATGCTAATGCTATTTGGATACAGGCCATTCATAAACTTATTTTTGATGAAAATTATCTTTTGGCAAAACTTGACTCCGACGTTGTTGATACATGATACCAAAAACTTTTAAAAGAAACAAATGATATAATATATTTGTTTTAATTGTTTTTTTTATATTTATTTTATTTTAATATTATTTTTTTTTAGAATAAAAAGATGCTAACGCCTCTTCTGCAAACTCACAAGTTAGATCTTTAGATTTGATGAATGTTGATAGTTTTTACGAAAACTTGCCTGACTCTGACTCTAAAAGCTATCTAAACGATAACAGTATTGAAGACAATAATAGTAATGATAATTATGACCCCAGTTCTTAAAAAAAACAATGGTAGTACATTTTTCAAAGTTGTTAATCGATGAATAGCTTCTTTAAAAGCTAATATTATTTTATTTAAAATATTATACTAATTTTCTATAATTTAATATATATTTTAAAAGCTTTTTCTTCAGAATGCGAATATGAATACGGAGAAGTCTTTTGTGCAAAAAATTGATAGCGATTATAATAAAATGCTTTTAGTTTTTTTTTATTAGCTAGCAATATTGTGCTTATTACATTCTTATTAGCTAGCAATATTGTGCTTATTACATGCTTTTAACAATATTAGCAAATAAATACATTAGTTTTTCAATTAATAAGTTGTCAAAAGTTTTTTAATATATAATTTTAAGTTTTTAAATAGTATTAGTTAACTATATTTTGTTGTTTAACATAAAAAAAATATTGTTTTGAAACATGTTAATTAATAAAATTGTTTAGCATTAAATAATGTGATTTTAAAACACGTTAGTTAATAAAAATTTTGTTGTTTAACATTAAATTATGCGGTTTTAAAACATGTTAGTTAGCAAAATTTGTTGTTTAATACATTGTTATACTAATTTTTTAATGTATTAATCTATGAAGGGTTCATTTTTTAATATTTTTAAGTATTAACTAATACTATGCGTTAGTTAATATTTATTAAATATTTTTAAAACTTCTTGATGAAACCCAATTCACTATAGCTTATAGCTCTATATTGTTTGGCTTTATTAATTACTCTGATAAGTAAAATTTATAAGAACAAAAGGAATTCATGATTATATTCTGTGATTCTGTATTAAGAGCTTCATGATATAATTCAGAGCTTTAATCTGATACTATCACTAAGAATCTAATTCATCTTAGTTACTTAGACCAAGTTTTTCCACACCTCGATCATTGCTTTACCAATATTAGAGTGTGGTTGTATTAGTTTTAGTGTTCTGGTTAGTTTTAGTATTGTGTTGTAGTATATATCAGTATTATCCAGAACTAGATTATTTCTACTTTCACAATATGCATATATATTTACTATTGTATACTAGTATAATTTGATTTCCTTAGTAAATATATTAAAATTAAAAAATCAAATAAATAAATTAATAAAGTAAAATAAAAACAAATAAAAAATAAAAACAAAACAAATATAAATAAATCAAAAAATAAATTATTAAAATAATAAATTAAAAAAATAAATTGTATGCCAATTTAAATTATAATAAATTAAAAAATAAAAAAAAGAAATGCTAAAAAAAAAATCTGAAAAAATAAAAATCAAAAAAATACAAAAAAAACAATAAAAGCAATAATTTAAAAAAAATAAAAAAAAGCAAAAATTAAAAAAAAATAAATAAACCTGATAAATAAAAATAAATAAATAAATAAAAAATGTTAAAAAAAATTTAAAAAAAAATCAAAAAAAATAAATAATAAAAAAATTTAAAAAAAAAACTAGTTCAAATCTCAATATACAAGTTTATATGTATGAGAATTTTTTAAAAATAAAACCTGATAATAAGCTACCTCTGCTATCTATATCAGAAATAAATCTTAAAAACCTGTATAATCTGAAAATAAGCTACTCTCGATTTTTTGGCCTTAAAATTATCTAAAAAAAGGTAGCTTATTTTTAGGAATATATAGTAAATATAATTTCTACTACAACTAGAAACTATATCCTTCTGTCTATAAACAATAGTTTATAGATAAAATATATGTTTTTATTAGAGAGAATAAAATAGGCTATTCTTAGATTTCTATTTCTAAAAAATCTTATAATATTACAAGAGAGAATTTAGAGAAGAAGGAAGTCTGGGTCTAAGAGGTAGATAGTGCAGGTCTAATATTAACTTGGAGAAATTTATATTCTTTTTATATCTTTAGAGCTACAATATTTTAAGAGCT